GGTTGGCACTATGCCTTGAGCAACTGTTATGCTTCTTTCGTACAAGTCCTTTGGGTGCCAATGCTGGTGGATGGTGGGGCAGGGGGAGGCTCCCATGTTATTAGGGCAGGGGAAACCCTTAAATTGTCTTGGAGAATTTTGCTTTTACTTAATACTTTGCTTGATATAACACAGCCAAGAGAATTAACAATCATGTTTTACGACCAGTACCTCATTGAGAAGAATGCAGTTCACAAAGATGTCGTACTTCAAAATCTCTGGGAAAGGTCCTTTTCCTTGTGTTTCTGCAATGTCCCACTCTGTTATGTGTGACCTTTGAACAGCATATGTAGAGCAAACATATTGGTAAGAATACTCTGTTGTGGACATTAGCACTTGGGTTAATTTACACATTTTTAAATAATTTGTGATCAGTGTAAATTGACACCATTTAAAGGAGAAAATCATTCAAATGAAGGAAATAATATTATTAAGAATAAGAGTGTAACATTTCCAGATGAATTTAGTTAACATGAGTTGTACAAAGTTAGCACCTTTAAAAGTATTACCAAGAATAAAAAAAACATAGATTGCTTGATTTTTGAATGAAGAGTTTAAGAGGAGAATTCCACCCACAGGGAAAGTACTCAACAAGTTTTATACAAGGAGACCCTATCCCAAGGTTCAAACCCTTACCCTTACATAAACCATTTTTAACAGAGAAGGTAACCATTTCATATACCGTCCAGAGAAAATGGCACCTCTTTTGCATACTTACAGTGCACTTTTACTGACCCTAAAAATGTCCTGCAGAAATCTTTCTACCCAAAAAGGGTCCACCAGAAAATTTGTACCCTAAAACATCCTCAAATCCCGAACAAAACAATATTAAAAAAAAAAATTAGCATACTTTGGAACACCCAGTTTATGTGCCATCTCCACAGCTCCTTTACCACAGCGACCCAGGGCACCAATCACAAAGATCCGAGGGATCACTTCAGGAACACCTACGAATTGATTCATAATCAACTTATTAAAAATTATGTGATCATTATGTCTAGTACTTTAGGGAACTAATAAATTTCAGGTGTTCAGTGAAACTGGTTATTGGAGGAAGGGGTTGTTGTTTAGGATATAAAACTATTTTATCACATGTATCTCTAAATGGCTTTCATGCAACCACTGTCACGCTATAATTGAAAGTGGGTGGGGGGGGGGGGNAATCACAAAGATCCGAGGGATCACTTCAGGAACACCTACGAATTAATTCATAATTAACTTATTAAAAATTATGTGATCATTATGTCTAGTACTTTAGGGAACTAATAAATTTCAGGTGCTCAGTGAAACTGGTTATTGGAGAAAGGGGATGTTGTTTAGGATATAAAACTATTTTATCACATATATCTCTAAATGGCTTTCATGCAATCACTGTCACGTTACAATTGAAAGTGGGGGTGAGCATGTTGCATGTGGAATCAAGAGTGGTTTATTGACAGATTGAGACTCTGGATCATATGTACTAACCATCCATGGTCAAGTGTCAATCGATACCCTCGATCGAAATTCAATCAACATCTTGATCAACACTTGATTGACAGTCGGTTGAGAGTCTACTAATTCTTGCAGACACACCATCAAGTGTTGATCAATACATACGAGACGGACGACACAGCCAACTTTCGGCCGATTGTTGACCAAGTATGGATCGAGTGTCAATCAAGATGTTGATCAAGTGCCAATCTAGTGTTGACCAACTATCAATTGAGATGTTGATCAAGATGTTGATGGGGGTGGATCAAGGGTATCAATCGACATTCGAGTGCAGATGCCTTTAGTACACATTATCCCAGACTCTTATTACAATATTACATACAGAGTGCTAATGTCAATCAAATCACTACAAAGTACATCATGGCAATTCAATGACACAGTGATCAAACATTAATTAAATTACTTTTAAATACCTTTTCTTTTAGCAATCTCTTTTAACTGGGATTTTACAAACGTTAACATTTGATCTTCATTGCCATAAGCAGAAACTGATGGGAGAGCAACATCAGGGCTAAAAAATAAAAACAGGAAAATCTTTCATATCTCACTCAAGGGTCTCATCAAGGGCCGGGCACTTATGGGCCAGGCACTGGGCAAATTGACCAGCTGTGAGGATGATTTTGCATACCCAGTGTGACTATCTTGAGGAAATGTCTTCTTATGAAGAAGTTTGATAATAAACTGTTCAAAACATTTTGCCTCCTTGTAAAAACAATATTGAAGGGGAGCCTGGAAAAAAGCTCCAAGCCCTCTTAGTGACTTACAATAAATTGCTAGATTCTCCCTCCAGACAGCCTTGTTTCTCTTTGTGAAAAACAAGGAGAATTTGACATTGCATGTATCAATACTTACTATATACCTAAATGAGAGATTTCCCTACCCTTTCATATACCTCAACTTGTGAAATCCCTACCCTTTTATACACCTGAAGCATGTACCCCTTTTGGGCAGAGCCTCCCCACATAGGGCATTATAGGTAGTAGCCCCCTTGGGCTGCAGTGCTAACCCACCTTTGAAATAAGTGAATCGTCAAGTTAAAACCTGAATCAACATCTACGCTTAGAGTTAACTCACTTTAACTGCTGGTGACACCATGCAATAACACCAACAGCCATTCCACAAAAGCCAGCCATGGTAGAGAAAACAGGAACCACACACTTACCTAGTACCAAAAAATAGGAAGTATAGATATTTTTTGTTCAATGGTTTTTGCTGGTACAGCTATGTGCATGTACTGTCTGACTGACTTGTGTAATGTATATCTCACCATTGTCATCAGTCATAAACTCAATGTCGTAGATGCTTCCTCCTCCTTTAACAAACCTGTAAAGTAGCTCTGCCCATCCTGTTTGGTTCTTCAATAAAGGAAAAAAGAATTAACAGCATGACAGCTAAAGAATTTCATTTATGAAGACATGTAACACTGAGGTATAATACAGGGGGTGAGTTGGCCTAATATTGGTTTGAATATTGCAAGTGCACTGGACCTCTAGATCAAGGAGTCTGGATACAAGAAATGACTGGAGTTGACTAGTAAAATGTTGAGAGTGTTTATCACATTGCCTGCACTTGTATGTGTTTGCATCACTTGCACATGTACATGTATGTAAGTTAAATGATTTTGCAGGCAAATCATGAGACAAACTGATATGTTCAAAAGGAATCCATAGGCTAGGAAAGTATTTTCCAATCCACACACTGTTATCTACATCAAACTGCTTTCATTGTACTTGGCAAAGCAAACTCAATAAAGTAAAACCTAAATTCAAAGCTCACCTTATAAGCATGGGCATAAAAGATGTGCCTGTGGGTGACAGGATCATCACTCTCGGGAAGTTCTTTCAGNTAGTTATACGTGAAATTTTAAGTCCTTACGGCTATTCCAAAGTAAGAATTACAAGTTTACGTTTTTTGTGGCCGAGAACAGGGCCCCATACTGTAATGATAACTATCTATTTTTCTTCTTTTTTCTTTGCCCCTGTCGTCACTGTATTTGTTAGTAGTGTAAGTCGTGTAACTGTATTTGTTAATAGTGTAAGTCGTTTAGATGTTGTAATTTATAAATAGTGTAAATTAGAGCAATACAATGTAAATAGAGCTAGTGTTGTAAGTACGCATTGTTTTCCCTTGTGTTATTACAAATAAAAAAAAAACTTTAAGGAAACTTCAGAATGACTCGGGTGACGTCGACCAAAAATTAATCCCAATGCTGAACCTTTAGCTTTCATAGAAAATTAAAGAAACTTTTGTTTACCTACACGTTACCTAGGTCTAAACTCCACCACGGTGAATTGTTCCCACAAAAAAAGGACGAAAAATATAAACTCGAGAATCCTAACCTGCCTTAACCAGATCTTTGCACCTCTCTGGAGTAATATGAGTACGTCTTTCATTCGGTTTCTTCTCTGCTCGAAGCCACAGATGCACAACCATGATCGAGCGCACGTTCAGCCTTCCTGCAACGCTAACTCGGAAGGCCTGGGTCGAGAGGGAAATGGTGAGACCACACCCAATGGGTGAGGGTACGCGTGCGAAAATATCGCGCCCCCTTATTTCGTTGACTACTCAAGGTACGACATTTATATTTTGTACTTGGCACCTTGTACTATTCCGCTATTCTTTAATTCTCACTTGTTTTTTTTTCGTTTTTTTTTGTTTTTGTGATTAACAACACGTAGAACGTCGAGGGCATGTGTTTATCAGAGTTGCGGTTTTCTTTTTCGCCCGAGGGCCAGTTCGACTGATAGTCGGTTCGCCCAGACTATTAGCTCCGTGACCAATGGGTTAACGAACGAGGTATAAACAATTTTGTTTCAATTTGCCCCCAGTGTTGTCTTTCTTGCTCGTTTAGAAAAAGAAACACATCTTTCTTTGAACTTTAGTCCTTTTAGTCCGGTCAAACTTACATCGGGTGAACTTGATTGTATATACTTTTGTTTTTTACTTAATTGTAATTGTTAATGGTACTCTTTATCAGCTGCTTCAAACAGTTGTTGGAGGCAGCGTGGCCGAGTGGTTAGGGCGCCGGACTTGAAATCCGGAGGTCGCGGGTTCAAGTCCCGCTCTGACCACTTAACTGGAGTTGTTTCTCGGTAGACCCTAGTTCAACTCCTCGGTCATGCTTGTAAATAGCCAACTGGTGTGCCTCTCGCCAGTTGGAATTTTTAACCATGTTATGTTCATTTGCATTATTTGTTTCATCATTTGATTTCATTGGCCCTGAAAAACCCCATTGGGGGAGTGGTCAATTAAGATATTTATTTATTTATTTATTTATTTGTTTGTTTGTGGCTTGCGCGATGGGATTTTACAAATGTTTTAAGAAAATATCGACACGTGCACAACCAATAGGATGGCCAGGTATTTGATTTCTGGTCCATTTTCTAAAACCTACATATGTTGCGGTGGTTAATAGAATGGGGTAAATTTAGCAGTATTTTTTTTTTCCAATAAGATGCAAAGATTCTGTAGGAGCTTGTGGGCCGGACATTATTTCAAATTGACCTACCCCGGGAATACTGCAAATATCGAACTGATCGAACTGATTACAATGAAAGGTCTTGTTTCTTGAACAATATCGTGCCTTTCCCAGATCAGCTTCTGAGACTGTAAAAACGCAATAATCGCATTTTTACATTTAAAAATTTATTTCAGTTCTGACGCTAATGCATCCTGTAGTGTCAAGTTACATAAACTCTCCATAAGGTGAACACTTGAAAGGCCAAGAACTGGAGTTGATCCCGAGTATGTCCACGTCAGAGAGTCAGGAGCCCATCACCCTGAGAGAGTTCACTGTATTTCTTTTAGAATGTTTTGTCCTACAAAGTCATCATTCCTTATCCTGCGAACAGGCTCCCGGCGAGGACGGAAAAAAATTTCGGCGAGCGCGAAACAGAAAAATTCCGAGAGCAAAGCGATTTCTATTGGTTGGTCGAAAACTCATTTATCATGCAGCTTTAAGCCTGTATTTACGACATTTAACTCTCCCCACCCTTCCTCTCCATCACTAAGACACACCCAAGACCCAAAAGAGAGGACTGAAGTAATAATTTACATCTTGCAAAAGGCTTTATTTCTCTTGAAAAACAAACGACACCAATCACATAATCAAACTACCATTTGTGGGATCACTTTCACAATACCGATAGTAAGTTTACAATGTATAAAAGCAGTTGAAGCAGTGATGGGGCCACAGGCCACTGACTGTTTCCTTTACATTAGAAATTTCTGCACTTCACAAAGCGAAACAGCATTCATGCATAGGCGGCCAAACACAACACATTGACATGGTTTTGCTTACAACAACAGACGAAAATTAAATATAAACACATATAGACTTTTTTGTTGAAGAATCAAAGAAGAATTTTTCTCTTGAATGTTGTTTTCACATCAGGCGAATGGATGTTCTTCCTGTCACAATTAAGAAATCTTCATCTCGTAAGATCTTAAGTGCATCTTCGAACTGCTCTCGAGAAATTGGCTGGAATGAAAAACAATGGAATTAGAATCGATGAACTCTTCAAATGCCAGAAGACACAACAGAATGCAATAGCAGACATATTTAGTTCACATATTTAGTGAAAACAGTGGAGCTGGAGAGAGAGATACGATCTCTTAGCAAACTTTCTTACCTCTATGATTTGGAGGAGAAAGGGCCAAAACATGGTCATAGGTCATAGTCATAGATTTGAAATAAATACAAACGGGCTGCAAACTAAACTTATCTACAGTAGTTAGCTCTTTGCTTACCAGATCAGAAGCTTCTTTGAGCTCCTCGAAAGTCTGCTGATACTTAACACTAGGAGCTTTGCCTTTACTCTGTAACAGTTCTTTCAGGGACTTGGCAATCTCAAGTCGCCTTTTCCTGTCAGACACGCTCAAACCAGTTGTCAGGATGTTGATGTCAATCAGTCCAGTCTTGGGGTCAGTGGCTGACTGTTTCAGAGCTTCACGGTGAAGTCTGTTGGTAAGATATCAAAAATTGCTAAGTCCTTTGCCAAAAAAACATTATTTTTACTTCAAAACATAATTTACACTCTATTATAAACATACATCAATGCCATAACTACAGGGACAAAAAGGCTTATCACAGGAAATAATTATGGAAATTTTCAAGACTGTTGGGCCTTTATAGGAAATTGATTGTGGGCCTTTATAAGAAATCGATTGTTGGCCTTTAGAATAAATTGATTGTGTATCAGAGAAATTGAGTCTAAAATACCTAGGAATCTGTATCAGAGGTTATCCCAATAACTGAGCGAAGTAGACTGACCACTTTGCCACCAATATAAAGTGAAAAATATCACCCACCAGAACCAATTGCCCCTGAATATGATTTTGACCAATTTTAACATACCTTCTGGCTTCCTCTACATCCACGTTTTCAACTTTAGATGAGAGCCTCATCCTAGCATGAGCCTCAGCCAGACGAATCAATGACTCAAGCTGACGAGGATAAGCAGTGACTGCTCCACGACTACTACCAACCTGACGCATCTCTGTCAACAAAGGGAAAAAAAACTGAATGAATTTCATGGTTGCACCTTTTCATGGAGTCAAGAGAGCAAGGATAACATACTGGTAACCTGGACTACTTCGATTAAATGGCCAACACTCAAACGTCCTGGTGGCAGATGGAAGGAAGGGAGTAGATCTCCCACCCTCAACCTTTCCCAGCCCGGGGCATAGGCTGAGGCTGGAAGATGACTGAAGAGAGGACAAGAAAGGAAAAAGGTCACTGGTTGAAAATAGCAGTTTTCAAAATGTTTTTTTTTTTCATATCTGTTGCGTTGAGGTGTAGAATGTCTGAAGATTTTCAGTCAACTATACCTGTTTCATCTTACACAAATGTTGTTTGGGAGACAATCAATAACCAAAGTTTCCTTACCCACATAAGCCTGAATGAGGTACTGAGCTGCCTCCTCACTGAGTTTAGGGTTCACATAAGAACGAGCATAAGCAATGTAGTCCTTTAATATACTCATATCCTGGCAACAGAACCAGTGAAATCATGTGAATACTTATTATTAACTTAGTATCAACTAACCCCCTATTACTGCTCAGTCAAATAGAAACAAGAGTTGACAAGATCACTTTTGCTGGACTGAAATTCTCAAGCACTCATAGAGATTCTCATTCAGTCTCATCAAATTGACCCTGTCCACACTTTTATTGACTGTTTTGTCATGAGCATTCTCTTGTTAGATCCATGCTCACTGAGAATGAGGAAAACCTCATGCAACTTTCACCTTCCACTTGTGGTTAGTCTCACTTTTGTTTGGCCTGGACTTGACTCATTTTATTCATGTTAATAGTTAGAATGTTTGATTTGACCAGACAATCTCTCTCAAAGGTGGTGATACCAAAGGTAAATTAGACATTGCTTGTTGATTATTATGAGAGGGACTACTATGTTAAAAGGTTGGGGATGCTCGTCAGAAAATCTGATTTAAACTCCAAAGAGAGTGGAGGAACTGCACCATTTGCATGGTTCTTTATGATTGGCCAAATGAAACAATAGATTAAGAACACAACGCCTCTAGCCCTAGGAACAAAAGTGGAGATTAACAAGAAAGAAACAAAATAGAGAGAGGTTTTTAAGTGGGGCAGATTAATCATAAAAGAGAACAAAACTGGGTGTGCCTTGAGCTTTACTTGACCCTTGTTGTGTAAAAGATACCACTTTGAAATGAACAGTGTTTTTTTTTTAATCTCTCTAAATTTACTCTGACCCCTAAATGAGATGATGAGCATCCCCTAACTTTTCAAATGGGATTCCCCTCCCTGGGGAATGTTTATCAAGCTTACAAGATACTCCTCCTCCTCTTCTTCCTGTGTCTGATGGTATAACGACACTAAATGAGTTGCCAGACGACGATCGTACAACTCATCTTGGGGATCAAGCATCAGGAAGATCAGATCAAATCTGCAGTAAAAAAAAACATTTAATTACCTCTGTATTCACTGATGTGTAACCATTACAACCTTTGCTTCTTCAAGTTTCCTCCAATCAAAGTTTTCATAATTTCCACCATTCTTGTCAATTGAAATCAGAAGTAATAGTGGCCATTTAAAAAAGCACAAAACTTTGCTCAATTTATTCTACCACACGGTTTTCTTTATGTATAATCCAGCTGCTCAAAATTTGGTTCAGTGTTCCCTCCAAAATATTATTTCACAGACCAAAGGATAAGTTTCTATCACACTATCTAATTTTCACACTTCCACACTTTCTATCCTGTCAGAAGCCTGGAAATTTCACTTAGGAGAGAACATCTTGGCCCTATTTCATTAAAATTACAGAACAAGGCATCCTGGACAGGTTCACTCAACACTCTTACTAAGCTTTACCTAGAGAGCAAGGTATGTGGTAGCTGGATGTTTTCCACTGTTGTCATCTTTGGATCCCACTGAGATTTAACAGGATTGGCAGCAGCCAGAATTGACGTCCTTGCATTCAACTGACAAATGATGCCAGCCTTGGCAATTGACAATGTTTGTTGTTCCTTGGAAAAACAAAATTACATAAACCAATAACTCTTCGTAGTTCTTTGGTTCCAGAAAGGGGTTGGGTGGTTGAGGTCAAAACTTAGAAATTTGCTGAAGATCAATGTACAACATGGACATATATTGTTTTTAGGTTAAGAGAGATTAAGAGTTAGGTGATATGCTTCTGGATTATCTAATAAGGGAGACCGTTAACCTTTCCTGGGGTGGGTATGGATGTTTTCTGGAACTGCACAATGTGAACAGTGTCTTTCTCCTTCACAGATCCTTTCTGGACAGCTCAATTAGTACAATACTCCTGAAGAAGTCAGATTCAAAGGTACAGTGCAACATGTCATATAGTACACTAACCATAACTTCGTGAAGGACTGCTCTGGTGCTGTCATTCATTTTGTCAAACTCGTCAATGCAGCAGATACCATTGTCACTCAACACAAGGGCACCCCTATTGATAGGAACAGTTTGTGGAACTATTGTGAGAAATCATGTTCAAGAGACAAAAAATGGAACAAAATATTATGTTCCTATGTTGCTGCTATCAACATATGGGGATCATCACCAGCTGAATTTTCACAAGCAAGCAAAGACCTTTCTTTCAGGTGCAAGGCCAGAAACTCCCCCCCCCTCCAGGAGGAACTCCCATACAAAAAGGAAGGGGGTGCTTGTCATACCTATCAGAGGTTAATAAAGCAGTTTTGTTACCTCTTAGGGTGTTCAGCCTCAAAAGGTCCACAGTGGGAGCTTTCGGGAACCTTTTAAGATATTGAGTTGATTTAATGACAGGAGATAATGTGTTGTTTTAGAATTGGTACCTCTTAAGGGTAAAAAAAAAATTCAAGTCATACCCACAAAACAGGATCTTGGTAGTCCTCTCAGGGATTCTTTTCACAATTTTCCACCAATACCCCCATCCTTTTTCTCCTGAGTCCCCCCAGGAGAAAAGCCAGCTGGGTTTTCGTATGAGTTGGATAATAATGAGGACTTAATCATTTCCTGGACTAAACATTCCAAACGAAATTTAGTTTAGGGATGTGTACCGATTCCATCAGCTTGTTTTGCCACGGAGAACTTACGTCTGTAGCACCAGCTGCCTTGTCTCTGGGTCTCTTGTGACATAAGCAGTCAAACCAACTGCAGATGAACCCTTGCCAGATGTGTACTGACCACGAGGCACAAGGTTATGAACATACTAAAAACAAAATAAAGGATAAATCAATGCTGACCATTCAGAGACATGATCACTTGCTTGTTTCTCAAATTACTCTTTACTACACCCAACCAACCAAATAGCACACCTCTCCTTATCCTTCAAAAACTTATTAACAATTCACGAAGTTAAAACAAAGGAAATCATAACTATGAAGGTGCTAATTTGGTTATCCAATCTTAAACAGCATAGACTTATACGATTTTATTCCTTTAATTTCTCCTTAGTTTTAGTTTGGATTGATATATCAAACATTCACCACACTGTTTCAACACATCTCCAAACATCTCAAACTAGTCAAAAATAATATTCTTCTGCATGTTGTATTTTCAACTCTCTCCTAGGTTTTTGGGAAACTAATATGGTTTACACAGTCTTTTGCGTTTGATGTGTCATTTCTTTTCAACAAATAGTAAATACAAATGTACAAAAGTACTACATGAAAAAGCATGAACAGAAGACTGCACTTAAATTTTACATTGACCATGCTCAGAGAGTGTAAAGACAATCCTTTAAAATAATAAATTTACTTATTCACCTGTTATATAATATTTGCACTTTCTGAACCAACTATTAGAGTTAAATTATAAAGCTACTGGCTTTCAATATATTGTTAATTTACCTGTAACAACTGTGACTTGCTTGTTCCAGGATCACCACAAAGAAGAATATTCACCTCTGATCTAAAATGACAACATCGTAATAAAAAGAATTGGATTTTCCATACCTACCAAAACAAAGAAATTATTAAGGAAACAAAGAGAATAACAATAATTTCCTTATCAAGTTATAATTACTATCAAGGCAAACCATACAAACCTAAACTTTCCTCTTCCAGTGTCAGCAAAATCCTTGTTTGCTCCTCCAAACAGTTGACAGAGGATTCCTTTTTTAATATCTTCATTTTCATAGATGCTAGGGGCTACAGGATTTAAAAAGGGAAAAAAAATCCTGTTCACATCCTTCAAAAAGAATGAGGCCACACATTTCTAACGCCAGGCAAGAACAACCCGAGGGGAGTTTATTAGAAAGGAGGGGCTTATTGAAAGCTTCAGTTCCATTTGGGGAACAAGCCCACGCTGTTACTTTGAGCTTTCTGTAACACAAAGCAGCTTGGAGAATCGCTGCCTTTCCAGAATGGAGAGCTTGTCTATCACAGTTAGCCCCCAGCAATTTAGCCTTCACTGTCTCATAGTTCTGGCTGGAGTGGAAGGCACTGAAAGAATCAAGTGTCTTGTTCACGAACAGTGCAACACATTAATTCGAAACTGTGCATGAACCCCAGGAGTTCGATCACGAGTCCATCACACTAAAATAGTACCCTGCATCCCCCAACTTACTTAGGGGGCACTATATTAAATCACAGCAGTGATAGAATCACAAACATGTACACAGTCTGGTGGGAATAGGGAGAAAGCTGCTAATTGGCTGTTCAAACTACACCTTCTCATTGGCTGGTTGGGATATCACTCTATTACATGAGTAAAAACTAGTTTCTATGTCACAAACACAAACCAAAGTAAACAAGAGTTATTTTTGACAGTTACATCAGACGATTAACATTTTCCACACTTGACTACTACTTACCCAGAGCTTTTGCAAGTCTTTCATAAATGTCAGGCTGTTTTGACAACTGTTGTAGTTGCTCAACTCTTTCTTGAGTGAATGACACAACTCTGAAAAACATTGGAGAGCAAGGACATTGGTCAGTCTATTAAAATCAACCTGTTATTATCTTGTGGACTCCAGATTTAACAGTGGTACCTATAGGTCAAGACAAGAATGATCAGAGAGAACATAATGGTTGTAAAAACATCTCAAATGTAAATGTTTAATAAATAATTTTTTTTTGGTTTACTAATAAAAAGAACAAAAAGTTCTTACCCATCAGGATCTTTGGAATAAAGCCTTTTCTTGTCTGTTTTCTTGAAATGAATAACATCAATGTATGTCTTGTAAACAGCCTTCACATTTCTTTGACGTGGATTTACACGCATGGGAGTGGCTCTATAAATTCCTGTCACTGTGACCCTAACAAAAAGTATGATGACTTGTATCAACTCAGTTACAGGGCTTGAAAAAAGTGGTGTCCAGTTCTGGGACAAGTAGATTTTCCTTCCAGGCAAGTAACTTTTTTTGCCCAATGGGCAAAAGATCAGGCAACTCGTCCGCCAACTAAATCAGTCNAGAGCAAACTAAGACTTGTCCAGAGCAAGCAAGATTTGAGGGCTGCTTGTATTACTTCCAAGAGGAACCAAGAATTCAATTTTTTTTTTCTAGCCCTGAGTTATCTAATTTTAAGTAAACTGACTCATGTCAATATAAAGCATTTTGATATCCTGACTTTTATGTTTACCTGTCTCCAGGTTGCACAGCATCTACCAAGTCATTGTGGGAGAACAACATGATGGTGTGCGGGGTCTGTCCAGGAGGCATATCATCTAATAAGTTGAGGAAGTTACATCATAGTTAGTCTGTAATTAATGTGAGTAATCACACAACACTTTGACAAGGTTAACAGGTTGTCTTCCAAATGACCTAGGAGGTACGTGTAATATTTGCCCAAGCCAGCCTTCACATTCTAGAGTCTTAAATATTTTTGACTTATGGTCAAATAATCAAGACCATTGCTTAGAAATGGTTTACTTTTCAGCCAAGCTTGCAAAAGAGGCATGAAATAAATTTCTCACACATGGAAAGGAGGGCTGAGTTTGATTTAGGATATCAGGTATCACACTCTGTCATGTGATCCAGTTTTTGTTTCTTGTCTCATATGAAGCAACAGCTTTGCCACCCACCCAGCCCTTCTCGCCAGTTGCAATTTTTCCTTTTAACATATAAATAAAACTAGTTAGTATTGACTACAGTTCTGGTATGCTCACTCTGTAAGTTCTGTTCAGGTGTCAATAAAGTGCTGTTGCACACTTGAGTAGTAGAATAATGGCGTTCTGTGTGTAAGAGCTGATTTTGGTCATCCCTGTCATATTCCTCATTAATGTATATACTGCACTTTTCACAACTATAATATAAGGAAGTGACATTTACCTGGAGATTCCTGCAGCTTGGTAATTTGTTTGTCTGTGTACTGTGACCTGTTGTGAATCAACACCATGCTGTGGTTTGTGTTACAGTTACGGCACAGAGCAGGTTCAGAAATGCGACCACGATCTATCTCCACTGTCACTGAAGCATGGCAAACATAACACTGGAAGAATGCTGTGGATCAGAACACAAAATGCATCTGTTAAAAGTTACTCCTTAATAAATCAACAGAGGACTTCCTCCTTTAAAACTATGCAAAACTAGTAGATGAGTACTAAGTTATCCTCATTTTGTACTGCAAAAGGCAAAATAAACAAGTTCCAAATTTCAGCATTATTTAGCATGGAATTATGCTGAAATCTCACACAGCTCTTTTGTACCAAAAGAAAATAAGTGTGCATCATAACAAGTCTGCTTTCTTGAGTAACTAGCAAATGTTACTGTATCAGTAGAAATACCTTCTCTCATCTCTGGTATAACCTGTGATGTCCTGATTACCATGCCACTGATTGTAATCAGAGTATCAATGTCTATAAAGAAAAGTGCATATGAATACTAATACAACAAAAGAAAGTTAAAAGAATTCCAAAATAAAAAAGCTGAGCATAAACTAAACTGATCAGTAACAAATTTCGATGATGATATTGATTAAGTTTATTCTTACCTTCAGGGTTAAGAGATCTCATATTCTTTGTTTTGTCCACATTAAAGGTTCTGACCTACAACAAAATTCACTATACAGTATTAGTATTTACACCACTGTTTCTTGCATTGTGATGAAAAGCAGCTAAGGTTTTAAAAATTCTCCAGATGGCATAAAAGCAAAATTATGAGAGCAAACTTGATTGTGATAGTCTTCAAATGAAAATGGTCAAAAGCTTTTTCAGACCAAAAAATAATTATAATTGGTAATTTTACTTGTAAAATAGAGTTAACAACTTAAAGCAGTGCATGGATATCACACATGTGTGTATCATTCCTTTAGTCACGTTATACTGCAACTCAATGTTTGACTAGGTTTAACAACTCTCAACACTTGTGGTTAGGTCATGAAAGACATTTACATAGGCAGACATTGNGTATATACTGCACTTTTCACAACTATAATATAAGGAAGTGACATTTACCTGGAGATTCCTGCAGCTTGGTAATTTGTTTGTCTGTGTACTGTGACCTGTTGTGAATCAACACCATGCTGTGGTTTGTGTTACAGTTACGGCACAGAGCAGGTTCAGAAATGCGACCACGATCTATCTCCACTGTCACTGAAGCATGGCAAACATAACACTGGAAGAATGCTGTGGATCAGAAAACAAAATGCATCTGTTAAAAGTTACTCCTTAATAAATCAACAGAGGACTTCCTCCTTTGAAACTATGCAAAACTAGCAGATGAGCACTAAGTTATCCTCATTTTGTACTGCAAAAGGCAAAATAAACAAGTTCCAAATTTCAGCGTTATTTAGCATGGAATTATGCTGAAATCTCACACAGCTCTTTTGCACCAAAAGAAAATAAGTGTGCATCATAACAAGTCTGCTTTCTTGAGTAACTAGCAAATGTTACTGTATCTGTAGAAATACCTTCTCTCATCTCTGGTATAACCTGCGATGTCCTGATTACCATGCCACTGATTGTAATCAGAGTATCAATGTCTATAAAGAAAAGTGCATATGAATACTAATACAACAAAAGAAAGTTAAAAGAATTCCAAAATAAAAAAGCTGAGCATAAACTAAACTGATCAGTAACAAATTTCGATGATGATATTGATTAAGTTTATTCTTACCTTCAGGGTTAAGAGATCTCATATTCTTTGTTTTGTCCACATTAAAGGTTCTGACCTACAACAAAATTCACTATACAGTATTAGTATTTACACCACTGTTTCTTGCATTGTGATGAAAAGCAGCTAAGGTTTTAAAAATTCTCCAGATGGCATAAAAGCAAAATTATGAGAGCAAACTTGATTGTGATAGTCTTCAAATGAAAATGGTCAAAAGCTTTTTCAGACCAAAAAATAATTATAATTGGTAATTTTACTTGTAAAATAGAGTTAACAACTTAAAGCAGTGCATGGATATCACACATGTGTGTATCATTCCTTTAGTCACGTTATACTGCAACTCAATGTTTGACTAGGTTTAACAACTCTCAACACTTGTGGTTAGGTCATGAAAGACATTTACATAGGCAGACATTGCTCTTTGATGTGAGTGAGATAATCATTACTTCATCCTTGGAACTACAATAACAATTACGTTCAACAAGAATAATTGTGATCTATTCATTTCTTTGCCTTACATGCTTGATCCCGGGTTGCAGGCGGCCTAAACAAAACTCTGTTATTATGTGTAATGGATACAAGAAAAACGATATCAAGTTATCATTTATAATTACTGCTCGCCTGTTCTCATACCAAACAATGCCTTGTGTTGTTGTGACTCTCACTACTGCAAGTAGCTAGTTTGCGATTTGTCTGTATTTGCCCCGCCTCACCCATCCATTATCAATAAACAGCTGGACTACAGGGTTGGGTGCACACCTGCCCCTTAGCTTTACACGTAGCCGGCCGGGTAGGACCCTGACCCCACCTCAGGCTTATATCTATCCGGGTGTGGCACGCGCCACACTTGTTGGCTCATCCCTTATTTCCAGGTGTGGCACACGCCACACTTGTTGGCTCATCCATCACCTGCCGGGTGTGTTGCTACCACCCCTATTACCATGTACCTATTTACAGGGTGTGTTGCTGCCACCCTTAGATTTGCCAAGGAGCACCCAACAACCTTAGTCCCATTTACTGCCAAATGGTTGTCAATTTTATTGTGTACTTATGTTAACATCCAAAGTTGTTAACAATGTAGTATTTATCGTGATTTGATTATCTGCAAATTATTGAATGACAAAAAAATGTCCTTGAACCTGAATTTGATGTTGCAGTTGAGCATCAGGATATTTTTCAAAGAACACCTCATTGACAGCCATGTCAAAAGTGGGAATCACTTCTTGTGGATAACAGATAAGCTGTCTGTACAAGTCAGCATCAAATGTCTTCAAATGACCACAGTCGATGCTAAGGAATGGTGTCTCCAAGACGTGAATCTGTGAAAAGCAAATATTCAATTAGACAGTGCCACTTAAACTTTTGACGCATAACATTGAGAAGATGTTTAATTACCTCATCCAGACGTTGCATGTAGACCGGCAAAAATGGGTCAAAGCCCTCACCCATGTCTTCAGCATCTTCGTCTACAAATTCAGAGATAAATTTTTTAAATTTCTCCTTAGTCACACTAACGACAACATCAGTTCCCCAAATGACAAGTGCAGGTGCTGCGGCAGCATCACTTGTTGGTCCTGTTGGTTGATCTGTGGTATCAGAAGGCTAAAAAGAACAAAAGGGATTGTTACCTGGTTCAAACAAGTGAAATTCTTTAAGACAAGTTTCATTGAATTTCAACAATGATTGGTCTGCAATAGGGGTCCTTATCTACCTTACACGAAGTAAACATTTATTGATACTCACTGCTTGATTCTCTCCCAGATTTACTTGACGCATGCGCCGATCACTGCGAATGTCACTGCGATGTCGAATAGGAGTACCAGCCCTACGTTTTTGTTAAGGAAATAACATGAAAAAGTATACACTTTATTTTGTTTTTCTGATGGCTGTTGATGACAGACAGACGGGTAGAGACATTGTTTTTGTATTTGTAAAATGTTAGGAATGAAATAAATAATGCAACTGGTTTACAGTTTTAAAACTCCGTTCATAAGAAATTAGTTTACTTAATATGATCAGATATAATAATAATTATGGTAAGTCAGTATGTTGGTCATCTGAACTGAAAATAATTCCATCAAGAAAGGATACACACTTCCGTGTGGAGTTCCAGCAGCTCTTGAACTAGGTGTTGCATAGTTGAGGGGGGAACTCAGATCTATTTCACTTGTCTCTAGCCCTCCTCTGGTTTGGGGTGACGAAAACTGTGAGCGATCTTGGTCCTGTGGCCCTTCGGTTGGTGACGTAGGTGCTAAGGGTAGTGGAGAGGATGGCTCATCTACACGACGACGTTGAGATGGGGGTGACACTACAGGAGCAGCTGATGGAGATGTAGCACGTGAACCCCTTCGGCTGCTGCGGGTACTACGAGTGCTAGTTGTAGAAGCATCAGATGCTGGACAAACAGAAAATTGTATGCATACACTTAGTCATGAAGACAAAGCAAATTGATAAACCTCATTTGAATCCTGCACTTTGCAAGCAAACCCAAACCCCCACATATCCAAAAATCTGCAATGTTGCTTCCTTATGCAAACCAAGGATGGAAGAAAGAACTATCAGATTCTGCGAATGCACTTACTGATTACAGAGCCATCTTATATCTTGTCACTGACAGTCAAACATAGAAACGTGGGCATAATATCCCCAATAAAATGGAATGCCAGTTGTTGCATTATTTTTTTTAAGTTCTATTACTTTCTGTGGTGCACTGCTTCCAAAAACCATGAAAATGATTACTGGTAGGATCCATTTATTTGTGAATAATTACCGCTACTAATTTTGACCTCGTCCAATGGGTCGGCTTCCTGAGGCTACACCTACCCGGCGAGTGGGGGAAGGAGTCAAAAAGTTGGAGGAATCAGAACAAGAAATAAATATATAATTTTTCGATCGACCTTGTGACTAGGGTTACGAACTCCATTACCTCTCGATCGTGGGGAAATATAAAGATAAATATAAAGGTAAGTATTCATCGACAAATTCTCTAAACATCTTTCAGAAACGAGTAGAAAATGAAAAGCGATGCTCTACAAAATATTGACTGCATACAAATTGTATGGATAAGATTATATTACAGAACGAAATGTACTTTCAGTACTTCCTTTCTCCTGTTTTTCGTTAACGTACAACACTCCGTACTGTAAAATTGGTTCTACTTTTAACAATCCACACAATTCTTCCAGCAATGTTCGTTTTCGCGAACTAATGTATGAAGTTTGGTCTGAGATCGTTCGAACAATTCGATGGCCTCGTGTGCAAAACAGATCGGCATATGGTCGTGTTCAAAATTGCCTTAGCGAAAATATGAAACAAAAAACTGAAAGGGTAGTAATTACAACTTGCAAAATGGTAGATTATAGTGAAATACTTACGCGGAGGGCTTGCTCTGGAGCGCTTTCTTCCTCTCGGTGTCGAAGGTTCAGACATTTTGCTTCTTCGCTTCAAGCACGTTCAGCAGACTCACGTGTCAAAAAGCGCGGGAAATAGATCAGGTGACCGACAGACTCGCAAGGGATCCTGGATGTACCCACTAAAAATCCGATCCCACCCCTCCCATGAATTTACCATAGTCATCGCATGCTCATAAATTACCCCCAAGCAAATAAAGCCAAAAATATAGAAAACCAAAACTTTATTTACCAACATAAATAAAAACTTGTGGAATAAATTATGCAATAAAAAATTCAAAAATAAACATGGAATAAATTATGGAACAGTATTTGTATGTCTGCACTTCGGACATCATTTTAAATTAAAAATTATAAATGTTATTTTTAACTCTTTCTGCTCCATTATATTTGTTCTGTATTTTTATTGCAGTGTCTAATAGCAGGAAAATTGGCAGAAATTTCAGAACGAGACAAAATTATGCAGTCTGACTCCACGAATTCGTGCAACCCTTGTCAACGACCAATGAACTTTTATCACTTCACATTCTTCGGGCGGGCCCTCATAAACAATATCTCCATAAAAAAATATACCTATGATTTTTTTTCTAGAAATAACTTTAACTAAAACAACTTAAATACATTTTGAAATTAAAATTTCAGCGGCATTTTTTGTTTGAAAAAAACTATATACACTTATTTTAAAAAATTCCATGCTGATAGTGACGAGATTCAATTGTGTGTCACATCATAATTCATTGATTAATTGCACAGTATTCATAGCAGTCAATCTGTTTCTTCTTCTTCAAGTGATTTCTCCTCTTTCAGCCACCGATGCCATTTTTGACTGATATAATGCTTGAATTGTCGCATCACGACATTGCCAACAGAGTTAACCACTTCGGGCATCACCTGAGAAAAATAGACAACAGAAGGTACAATCAGCCTTTACCGAAGAATGATTCCTGAAAATTAAAATTAATTTCAGTTTGGGAGAAAGATTCTCATCCACATCCCTATGGGGGTAGCCTGAGAAGCAGGTTCTTGAGTAAATAGGGTGCGAGTGGGAATCCTCGCGTGTGTTCTCGCCTTCCCAGCTCTCTCTCTCTCTCTCTCTCTCTCTCTCTCTCTCTCTCTCTCTCCCCCTATTTCTACTGAAGAAGGGGCCACCTTTTATTACCCTTGGGCACTGAAGGTTTTGCTTTGGGGCATCCAACGCGCGGAGTATTAGGCGTTTCTCCTCTTAGAACAGGAGCGTTAGGGTTGATTGTTGCCGGCTCCTTCTGAGCCCAAAGGGATGAATAGAGCCTCTTTCTCTGGAGCCTAAACAGTGGAACCCTAAACCGGTCTTTCGGACACTGAATATGGAGTCGAAAATGGATTATCTTGCATTGTAAATTCCGTCTAACTTACGATCGCTGCGAGAAATGAGTTACTTAGCGGAACATAACACGAAAGGCATAACTGGAGAGTTTATTTATCTATTTATTTATTTATCATCCTACCTCAACACGGAGCTCCTCTGTTCCGAGTTTGATAACACCATTGTAGAGAGGCTTATCTACAGCGGCGTGAGCGCCCCTACTCTCGATATTACGTAGATATTCCAGCTGTAACTCAGCTATTAGACTTTCTGATACAGTTACAACGTCACTACCAGAGTCCACAATAAAATGAATCAGTTCTGATGAGCGAGCGTCTGAAAAACAGAAACCAACATCAACCAGTGAANAGATGGCATAAAAGCAAAATTATGAGAGCAAACTTGATTGTGATAGTCTTCAAATGAAAATGGTCAAAAGGTTTTTCAGACCAAAAAATAATTGTAATTGGTAATTTTACTTGTAAAATAGAGTTAACAACTTAAAGCAGTGCATGGATATCACACATGTGTATCATTCCTTTATTCACGTTATACTGCAACTCAATGTTTGACTAGGTTTAAGAACTGTCAACACGTGTGGTTAGGTCATGAAAGACATTTACATAGGCAGACATTGCTCTTTGATGTGTGTGAGATAATCATTACTTCATCCTTGGAACTACAATAACAATGAAGTTCAACAAGAATAATTGTGATCTATTCATTTCTTTGCCTTACATGCTTGATCCCGGGTGGCAGGCAGCCTAAACAAAACTCTGTTATTATGTGTAATGGATACAAGATAAACGATATCAAGTTATCATTTATAATTACTGCTCGCCTGTTCTCATACCNCTCATCTCTGGTATAACCTGCGATGTCCTGATTACCATGCCACTGATTGTAATCAGAGTATCAATGTCTATAAAGAAAAGTGCATATGAATACTAATACAACAAAAGAAAGTTAAAAGAATTCCAAAATAAAAAAGCTGAGCATAAACTAAACTGATCAGTAACAAATTTCGATGATGATATTGATTAAGTTTATTCTTACCTTCAGGGTTAAGAGATCTCATATTCTTTGTTTTGTCCACATTAAAGGTTCTGACCTACAACAAAATTCACTATACAGTATTAGTATTTACACCACTGTTTCTTGCATTGTGATGAAAAGCAGCTAAGGTTTTAAAAATTCTCCAGATGGCATAAAAGCAAAATTATGAGAGCAAACTTGATTGTGATAGTCTTCAAATGAAAATGGTCAAAAGCTTTTTCAGACCAAAAAATAATTATAATTGGTAATTTTACTTGTAAAATAGAGTTAACAACTTAAAGCAGTGCATGGATATCACACATGTGTGTATCATTCCTTTAGTCACGTTATACTGCAACTCAATGTTTGACTAGGTTTAACAACTCTCAACACTTGTGGTTAGGTCATGAAAGACATTTACATAGGCAGACATTGCTCTTTGATGTGAGTGAGATAATCATTACTTCATCCTTGGAACTACAATAACAATTACGTTCAACAAGAATAATTGTGATCTATTCATTTCTTTGCCTTACATGCTTGATCCCGGGTTGCAGGCGGCCTAAACAAAACTCTGTTATTATGTGTAATGGATACAAGAAAAAAGATATCAAGTTATCATTTATAATTACTGCTCGCCTGTTCTCATACCAAACAATGCCTTGTGTTGTTGTGACTCTCACTACTGCAAGTAGCTAGTTTGCGATTTGTCTGTATTTGCCCCGCCTCACCCATCCATTATCAATAAACAGCTGGACTACAGGGTTGGGTGCACACCTGCCCCTTAGCTTTACACGTAGCCGGCCGGGTAGGACCCTGACCCCACCTCAGGCTTATATCTATCCGGGTGTGGCACGCGCCACACTTGTTGGCTCATCCCTTATTTCCAGGTGTGGCACACGCCACACTTGTTGGCTCATCCATCACCTGCCGGGTGTGTTGCTACCACCCCTATTACCATGTACCTATTTACAGGGTGTGTTGCTGCCACCCTTAGATTTGCCAAGGAGCACCCAACAACCTTAGTCCCATTTACTGCCAAATGGTTGTCAATTTTATTGTGTACTTATGTTAACATCCAAAGTTGTTAACAATGTAGTATTTATCGTGATTTGATTATCTGCAAATTATTGAATGACAAAAAAATGTCCTTGAACCTGAATTTGATGTTGCAGTTGAGCATCAGGATATTTTTCAAAGAACACCTCATTGACAGCCATGTCAAAAGTGGGAATCACTTCTTGTGGATAACAGATAAGCTGTCTGTACAAGTCAGCATCAAATGTCTTCAAATGACCACAGTCGATGCTAAGGAATGGTGTCTCCAAGACGTGAATCTGTGAAAAGCAAATATTCAATTAGACAGTGCCACTTAAACTTTTGACGCATAACATTGAGAAGATGTTTAATTACCTCATCCAGACGTTGCATGTAGACCGGCAAAAATGGGTCAAAGCCCTCACCCATGTCTTCAGCATCTTCGTCTACAAATTCAGAGATAAATTTTTTAAATTTCTCCTTAGTCACACTAACGACAACATCAGTTCCCCAAATGACAAGTGCAGGTGCTGCGGCAGCATCACTTGTTGGTCCTGTTGGTTGATCTGTGGTATCAGAAGGCTAAAAAGAACAAAAGGGATTGTTACCTGGTTCAAACAAGTGAAATTCTTTAAGACAAGTTTCATTGAATTTCAACAATGATTGGTCTGCAATAGGGGTCCTTATCTACCTTACACGAAGTAAACATTTATTGATACTCACTGCTTGATTCTCTCCCAGATTTACTTGACGCATGCGCCGATCACTGCGAATGTCACTGCGATGTCGAATAGGAGTACCAGCCCTACGTTTTTGTTAAGGAAATAACATGAAAAAGTATACACTTTATTTTGTTTTTCTGATGGCTGTTGATGACAGACAGACGGGTAGAGACATTGTTTTTGTATTTGTAAAATGTTAGGAATGAAATAAATAATGCAACTGGTTTACAGTTTTAAAACTCCGTTCATAAGAAATTAGTTTACTTAATATGATCAGATATAATAATAATTATGGTAAGTCAGTATGT